TATCTATGCTACTTATTTTCTGTACCTTCTCCCCCCTTCTCCTTCTCCCATTCCCCTGTTGCTAATCCTCCTACAACCAAGATTGCTCTATCCAGCAAAGTTTTCATTTAGAATGGAAGGACAGATAAAGTGCTTCTCAGATAAGACCAAATTCAAGGAGTTCATCATCACCAAGCCCTTATTATATGAAATGTTAAAGGGACTTACCTAAGAAAAAGAGGATAAAAAAGACGAACAGTGAAAGGACAGCAAACTCACAGTTATCAAGAACCACATCTAAAACAAAAGCAAACTAAGAGGGCAGCTAGATCAGGAGTGAACCATAGAAATGAAGATCACGTGGAGGGACGCTTATTTTTAAGGAGGGAAAATCGAGAACAATCGTTGGATTGCCCCAGGCCCTGGTCTCCACCACCGCCCTGGACGTGTTTAGGACTGGAACTCTTAGACCCCAGCTGGCTCACCACGCGAGTGTTTGCCACGGTCCTCACCCGCCCCCTGTGTGGTGCTGAAATACAAAACACAGAACAGGGCCCCTTCTGCACCCCCCAACCCAGCTGGAAGAATGAGACAAAATGAAGAACGAACATCGACACATCTCAATGCTTCTAATCAAGGCCAAGCGCACTCTGAGGAACCTTGGCTCTCTCCCAAGACACACACAACGGTCTCAACCGCTGCCTCTTTAAGCCGATTTTCTTTTTAATGCTCAAAAACAAGTGGCACAATCGCACACTCAGAAGATGTATCTTTTGCAAAATGCGTTGTCCTCTTCCGTCCCTCCAAAAAACAAACAAACAAAAAAACCCACCACTCCATCAAATCCATAAGCAAGCAAAACCAGAACTGGAACGTGACCCTGGAGGAGGGGGAGGCCGTGGTGGATACCTGAAGATTATCTCACCTAGTCACGTTCACAGAATAAATGAGGGTTGCCCGGGGCAGGAGCAGGAGTGGGAGAACATGAGAGGTGGGAATCAAGGGCCATCAAGTTTCAATCAAGGAGGATGAGGAGTTGCAGAGATGTGCTTCCAACATCACACCTACACTCAACAACTCTGTCTCATGTGCTTAAAAATATGTTCAGCGGTATATGGCCCGGCTGGTGTGGCTCAGTGGATTGAGCACTGGTCTGTGAAGCAACGGGTTGGCAGTTCGATTCCCAGTCAGGGCACGTGCCTGGGCTGCAGGCCAAGTCGCCAGTAGGGGGCGCATGAGAGGCTACCACATTTTGATTGTTCTCTTCCTCCTTTTCCCTCTCTAAAAATAAATAAAGTCTTTAAAAATAATGTGTGAAGAGGATAGATCACCTACTAAGTGCTCTTACACCAAATAAAACTACGCGTTTTAGAAGATGAGTTCACGGCCCTGGGCTCCCTCATCCAATCAGGGCTTATTAGCCTGTGGACGCCAATATGGGCAGTGATATCAATACACAGAAGCTAGGAGGTCTGATTTTGTAACAGAGAAACAGCGCTCCAGGACTATGACAAAGCACTATTTTTTTGTTACAGAGTTTTACACGAAGCCACCCACACAGAGCTCTGGGTTATTTCCCACCTTTCCAGAGAGCTGTGGACATGCTCTCGTTTGGTGAACTCCGGTGCTCAGAGAAAGATTTCTCTGCTCGAGACTGACTCCTAGGAGGCCTCCGGCGGGGGGGGGGGGTCCTGCTCCCTCATTTCCTTCCTAAATTATACTGGGATCGACTTAAAGCAACCTCGTCTTAGTACCTATTGCTATTTGGTTGGGGTTTGGTTGGGTTATTCAGGGAGAAGGCAGGTGGGTCAGACTGGACCGGAGTAGAGCATCTGTCTTGAAAGTGGAGACCACCCCGTCTCCACAGGTCGGTGGCTCTCGGGTGTGTCTCATCTGGGACAGGTGAACTCAACACCAAACACCTGAAGTTTAAAATCAGCGCCTCCGTTGGGCTCGCTCACCTTCCATCCATGTGCGGATTTGACGGGTTTTTAATTCATGTTTTCTTTAATAAAACCATCACAGACAGGAATCCCTCTCATATACATTCACTCCAAGCCACACACGTCTGTCCAAGGTCTGGGCGGCACCTCCTTTTTTTCCCCCTGTTCATTTGTGCTATTCCGCCGTGCCCCCCCCAAAATGAGGCGGGGCTCCCTGCCCTGCCATTCACTCAGCAAAGAACAGTGGCCGCTTTGAAAGACCCGATGGATGGGGTTGTTTAGAGAAAGATGACAAAACCGGAAAATATTCCTGGCCCGACTGGCCTATGAGTGATGACCCCGGCCCTCGCGACCTCACTGGCCCGCGGTCCCTCGTGGAACCGGGCACCACTGTGCGATTCATTCCAAACCGGTCGCCGCAGAGTTTAACACACCCCTTTCTGCCACACAGAAGGCATCGCCTGCCTCGGAATTCTGTTCCGTGATTAACTAGCATATGAAGTCTCTCTTCTGGAAAGACACCTTCCAGAAAGAAAGGAAAAAGAGAGAGAGAGAGAGAAAAAAATAGGGCAACGGATTTAAACGAAACCCAGGACATCTGTTCTTCCCTCCCTACAGAAAGCAGGAAGTCTGATTCCCATACTCCAAACCCTCTCCTTCCACCAGATTCGCACCTGCCTCCAATCAGCTGTCACCAACCCTGGAACTTGCGTATGTTTAAACCAGTGTGGGACGGCACGAAAGGACTCGTAATATTGTCACATCGGTTTCCAGCACGTGGCTTCACGGGGAGGAAATAAACTCTATCGGAAAGCGACATGGTTGACGATGCTGACACGTGGGACAACGAAGGGTTCAGACGTGGGCACCTTTCCAGGTGGCGGGGGGGGGGGTGATGTCGAGCAGGGTTCTGCATGTTTGAGGCACAAACGCACTGGATTCGGAAGAGTTCCCAAAGAGACCGACCCCCCCTGCACATTGTGAGAGCAATGTAACTAAAACATGGGCTAACCTAGTAACCAGAATCGCCCCTGAGCAGGGAACAGACACTTCCCACGCACGACCACAACACACATTTAAAAGGCCAAGCTCAGAAATCTTTTCAAAAATCACGCACGTATCTCAAGTCTACGCTCCAAGCCAAAATAAAAAAGGAAGAGGCAGCAAACCAAACTTCGATCATGCTCCAGTGCCTTGCCTTGTAAGTGTCCGCTGGCCTGGATCACCCCGCTGTATCTACCTGACGGAGCACCTGGTCACAGAAGTATCTTTTCTAGTCTTAGATTCGGGTTTCCTGAAACACCCAGGAAGACGCCCTTGAACCTGGCCAGAGACAGGTGCGTGCACACAGGCTGGGCTGGCCAACACCAGGGCTACAGGTGTTCCTGCGGCAAACAATACGACCGTTAACGAATGAACAAATAATAATACGAGAGTCAGCTCCGTGTTTCTTGGGCTCCCAGCTGTCCAGCTACCTACGCCCACCTCAGTGTGTATATGTTCCCCCACGTGTTCTTGGGTAACAGAATACTGAGCTTGTAACCTGAAAAAACAAATATCGATGCACCTGTTTATATGTGCAGGTAGAGGCCTTGGCGAAATTCTTATGCTCTTAATTTGGGGACAGATTTTAAATATGAGGATCTTTTTTTTCTGGAACGAAGGCATGCATGCCAGCCCGAGCCGTTGGCCCACCCCACGCCCTGCCTCCCGCCCTCGCTGCACAGGGACTCGTGTGCTGACCACTGCGAAGGTGGCTGGTGGCTTCTGCCCACAGCCAGCTAAAGACATGGAGTAACTCTCCACTCCCCAGGCCCGCCCACGCCACACATCTGGGAAAACGGCAGGGAGAAAGGCAGACTTTGGGGTCATGTCTCCCGGCTCCACACCCCCCCCCACCCCCGCCCTCCAACCAGGCAGCTCTCTGAGCAGCTGACCTTGTTTGGTCCTGATTCAAAGCCAGGTTTTTTGCGAGCTGGTGAGCCCTCTTTTGCAGCCAGAGAAGGTCCCTGCCCCGAATGTCCCAGGCATGCTTTTGCACGTTCCTTGCAGAACGCCTGCACAAACTGGAAATTCTGCTTCCTCAGGGTGCCTGGGTCGCCCCAAACTTTTTTTTCTTTTCTCCTTCTTTTTCCACCCCTTCGGGTCCACTCAAATCATGGTGAGCGCTCACCCAAAAGAGGACGCTGGCTCGCGCCCCCTCCCATTAGAAAGCAGTGGAACACAACGCGCTCTGGGTGGTGGATCCCCTTCAAAAGCATACGATCCCAGTCCATGAACCAACGCACAGCCCCCCCCCCCGTAACTGACCAAATACCAGGAAAAAATATCAAATCACATCAAAAGAAAAATCCATACTACCACCTTGTGGATTCTGCTCGCAAAAACAGCACCTGCTTATTAGTTCGGTAGCCCCCGCACCCACCAGCCCTCACCCCCAATGGAAGCCGGATCCAAGGGGCACACTGGGATCAGCCGACGCCGCGCGCCCCAGACTCGCGCAGGCACCGGGTTTCGGGCATTACGCGCGCACCCCGCGCCGGCGGCAGCTGCAAACCAGGGCGCATGGCGGGGCCACCCCACCGCCACCCACTGGACACCCCACCCCCGACTGCCTCCTGTACCCCCCTCCGTCACCAGTCCCGAAATAGCAGGAGCGTAGTGGCTCCAAAAATAGAGAAAACCCTCACCTGCAGGTCGGTTTCACAAGAAGGAGTCAGAGAATAGGAAACCCGTAACCAAAAAAAAAAAGAGAAGGAAAAGAAAAGAAAGGGATAAAAACGGCACCAGGAAAAGGAGCTGGCTGGATGCACAGCACGTCCTCCCAGGCCCTCGCCCTCCAGGCGAGACATCCGTTCCCACGGTGGTCCCGGCCAGGCCACGGGGCTGCGGGGGGCCGGAGGGACCCCGGGCGGCCGCCCCCGCCGCTCCGGGAAGAAAGGGCGCTGTGTCTAGCGGCGAGCAGGCGCCGGAATGGAGCTACGGGGCCCAGGACTGCGCGCCGCACGGGGGCCCCAAGCCGGGGGCGCAAACCCCGGGGGCCGGCTCGAGACCCCCGCAGGGCGGAAACCAGCTTACCACTTCTCTGCGGGGTGAAGCAGCTGGGGCAGGTCGGGGGCCAGAGCGGAGAGGCCGGGGGTGTCCAGGAGCCTAGAAAGCGAGTGCTCCCGGGGAGGCGGCTGGCGTCCTGGCGAGCGGAGGGGCAGGAAACAGCTGCGGGGCACGGGCGCGAGCGCAGGCGGGGACCTCCGCCCCTCCTGCCTCCGCTGGCCCCGGACCCTCGCATCCTCCGCCAGGCAGCACCTCCTCTCCACCCGCACCTCACTCGCGCTTCCGCAGGTCAGGCCGCGGGAGCGCGGGCGCAGGTCGGGGGGGCCGCCGCCGCCGCCTCCGCCGCAGCCTTGGGGAGAGGGCAGGACTCAAGTTCACTTGCTTTGGGGGGGGCCTCAAAGCCCCTCGCCCACCCCCACGCCCCCCCCCAACGCTGCGGGTTTGGCTGCTTCTGGCTCTCGGATCTTCCCGCTGGAATAAGGGGCGGCCGAGACCAGCCGCGCAGAAAGGCGGGTGTCTGGGGGTCCAGGATGCCATCGGCCGGGGCAAAGCGTGGGCGAGGGCGGGGGGACCTTAGGAGCGCGGGACAGCACACAGCTCGGGGGTGGGAGGTATTTGTCACGTTGCCCAAGGTCCTGGCGCCGGTCCCACAGCCTGGAACTGACTACCCAGCCCCCAGCCCCCGCCACGGGCAGGGGGCCGGCCGGTCGTGCGGTCCGCAGGCTCTGCTCGCGGGCACCCGGGCCCTCTGTGGGCGCCAGCAGGGGCCCGCCTCCCCTGAGAAGCCCGGCTAGCCCGCAGCCTGCAACTTTGTGGTCCTCCGCAAACGCGGGCAGGTCGCGACGGCGCTGCGCGCCCGCTGGAAAGCGCCAGGCCAGACCCCAAGGCTTCCAAAAAAGGGGGAAAAAAGCACTACCCCCCACCCCCGCGCCTTCTGCCGCCGGCCTCTCCCCCCAACCCACGCGCACGAGGAAAAGGGGGCAGGCAGCCCGCTCCCCGGCTTTGTAGGGACAGCGCTAAGCCACAGCGATATCGTCTCCCCCCCCCCAACCCCAACCCCCACCCCCACCCCGGGGTCTCCGGCTTGCCCGGGTCCCCAGCACACCCCAGCCAGGTCCCTCATCAATCACGTGCGCAGTTCCGTGCCTCACACAAGCCTTCCTCTGATCCCAGGCACCAGAGAAAGGGGGGCTGGTGGGGGGGTGGGGGGAGATCGCTGGATGCAACCCCAGCCGAGCCCGTTTTCCTTGTTCCTGTGTGGGTATTAACCCCCAAAGAAGCAGCCCGGGAGGCAGGAGCCGACAGCTGCCTCCAAGCAGAAGGAGGGGGAGCCCCCGGCTGCTCACAGTTTGCAGAAGTCGCCCTGCCTGGCCCGCCTGCGGCCCCGGTTTGCAGGGACCTGGTGCCTGCTCCGTCTCTCCCTCACTGCAGATGTCTGTCTGCGTGCCGTCCTCAGCCCGGCACACTCTTCTGTTTATGTGTATGGGAGGCAGCGCTACTCTGTAAACACATCACACACGGCCCCGGAGCCTCGCAAAGAGCTGACTGCAGCAAAAGGCTGCCCGGCCGCGGCGGACCCCGGTTTTATTTTCCAAGTCCAAACAAACAAACAAATTTTAAAAAAACGGGACATTTCTGTCGCGATGTGCAGAAAAGCCTACCCAGACACGCTGCCTGTCCATCTACGTAGGTCCACACTCCCTCCCACACCGAAGAAATGCAGCGACAGATGGGGGAACATGCTGTCCAAATTTCAGAAGAAAAGGGGCAAAAAAAAAAAAATGTCTGATGGATTCAGGCGCAAACGTTTGCAGGGAGATTGATCGCCTTTGGCCGGGCAGCGCATTCGAGATCCCACCTTTTCAAAGGCTTCAGAAAATAAATAAATAACCCGGAGACACACGCGAAAAACGGCACCTACCTTAGCCGTGGCGAAGCTGCGTCGGCTGACTGTTCTTTTTACGCATCCGGATTTTCCTCGGGGACCCTACCAGGTGCGCACGGCGAGGATGGATTCCGTTCCAGCTCCTCGGCTTTCTCCAATTCCAAGTAGACTCGCGTCTCTCCAAAGGAATGTGAGGACCCCCACCCCCACCCCACCCCAAGACACGGCCAGGGGCAGGAAATTCGTGGTTGGGGTCGCCAGGGGTCCCGGGGTCAGGAATTGAACGCAGCCCAGTCGGCAGGGGAAGGGCAGAGCGAGGCCTGAATGAGACCTCTGTGCTGGAGACACACGGTCCGGGCGGCGAGAAAAGGCGAGATGGCAGCGAGTGGTCCCGAAGCCTCCCTGCTCCCCCTGCGCGATTGGACCAAACTGAATGAAATTCAGGAAGCTAGCAGCCAATAGATGCCCGCAGTCGGCCCATCGCTACAGAAACCACGGCCGCCGCCGCCACCGGCCTCGGGAAAGAGCAGCTAATCCCGGCGCAAACCAGCTGGAACCCAGAGGTCCCGCTGCCCGGGCGGCGGAACAGGTGAGCGTCACGCGGGGCCGCCGGGCCGGGGGCGCGCAGGCCAGCCTGCTCCGGAGCCTGTGCGCCCCGCGCCCTGCGCTCTGCACCAAGCGCCGCGCAACATTTGCAAATCGGTTTAACTCTTTCGGGCCGCCTCCGCAGCAGGGCCCGGCCTGGGGAGCTGTGTGGGCTGGTCAGGCTGACCGAGGCTGCTCTTCCTGGACCTTACCGTGATTTTTTAAAAAATAGTCGAAACAATGGTTTCCATTGGGGAGGGCAGCTAAATGAGAATAAAGATTCACAAAGGACAAACACCTCCCTCTCCTACGCCCAGGTGCTGGGTGAAGGTATGTGGTTTTTTTCTTTTATATTCAACCCAAGAACATCTCTCCCTTGCTCTTAGAGAAAGGGGAAAGGAGGGAGAACCAGAGGAAGAGAGACAAATCCATGTGAGGAAAAAGCATCCATTGGTCGTCTTTCCTGCGTGACAGGAGCTAACTTGCAACCCAGCCGGGTCCCCTCAGGGCAGAACAACCCTGACTTGAGCCTCAACAGTGCCCGCTCTGCTCATGCTTTTGGTTTGTTTGGTTTTTTTTCTTACCCACCAGCGGCCTTTTGATACGTGACATACAGGCCGTATGGCGATCTGTGATTATCCAGTAGTATGCCAACACCCCTCTTGATTTTAGGGGCCCAGGAGTTGACCCTTCCCAGTGGACATCACGTGTGCTGAGATGGCCTCACAATCGCCGTCGGGTCCGAGAGAACCGGCACCGTGTGGGCAACGCGTGGCGTCCCCAGTCCATAAACAGGCGGACACGGTGTGGAGTGGTGGCCGTGGGAACACGCGTGGGCTGTGACGGTGCAGGGCCACAGGCGTGCCTGGAAACACTTTGTCCCAGACGCTGCTTCGGGGAGGTGGAGAAACCAAAAATCATCCCCGCCTCCGTGTTGTGCTGGCGGGAGGCTAACACAGGACTGGTCGGGCTGGATGCATCCAACTCCTGTTCGCTTTCCTCACAATTATTCCCCGGGCCTATGCATTCATTTACCACGGAAGGTCGTGTCCCCTTCCTGCAGAACCCTCGCACGATTCCTTCTGCATTTAGGACGCACACTCCGACGCCCAAGCGGGTGTCATGACTCGCTGTGACGACATTCTAGGGCAGTTCCTCGCGAGTTTTAAGAGAAGGGATCTTGGGGGACGTGGTGAATAAGGGGGCAGCGGGGCTCGTGCCACATCCCATGCCTGCCCTTGTCACTTGGGCCTTGTTGAGAAGTACGTCATGTTCCGTGAGTCTCAGGGAATAGCCGTGTTCAACTGTGGCTCTCTGGTGGGCTTCCTGGGACGATGCAAGGAGCTACTATGTATAAAAACACCCTTGATTAAAAAGAGGCATACGAAAAAATGCATATGTGCAATGTGGAAGAAAAGCATGTTTCCTCTAAGTACGCATTTTCTTCTACTGTGGAACCACTCACGTAATAGTTTTGTGAAGCATCTCCCAAAATGCTTCCCCTATCCGTGGCACACAGCAAGACACAGGCAAAAAAATGGTGATGGGAACGTATATATTCCCCAGTGTATTACTGTTCAGAAAGAGCCTCCCCATGAAGGTCAGGATGTACAGCAGTCCCGAAGCCAGTGCTGACGCTGTCTCCCCACTGATGACGTCCCCCATGGGTCCGGCCGCCAGGAAGACAGTACCGAAGGTGACGAACCCAATCGTCCCATCGTTGGCCTTCTGGTCTGAGATGAAGTGACGCGATTTTTACTAAGAGCATAAAGGGGCGGGGGCCACAGATAATAGGCAGGACCCCCAAGCCCAGGGTATGGCCCATCTCGGGTACCACACACGTAGCTGATGAAGCCCTTGGTCTGTGATGACAGGACGAGAAGACCACAACGAGGCTTCTTGGATGGCCCTCTGGGAATCACCGTCAGTCCTTTGGGAAAGCATATGGGTTTCAAGACCGCAAAGGAATATTGATGTCACATTGGCCACTTTAAGGAAAATAAATTCACCGGTAGGTCATATTTTTAAACTCACATTGAAACTGGACTTCATGATACTAAAAAAAGATAACTAAAACGTTTTTTCCCCCTTTTCTCTCCCCTCTCTTTCTCTCTGTTCTCCTCTTTCTCTTCACTTTCTTTTTCTTGTCTCTTGTCAGCCCCAGGTCCAGGATGACACACAGGTGACTTCACTGAGATGGCCTGTGCGCACTTGAGGAGGGATGACCTTCTCTGAGAACTGTGTTATATCCGGTTCTAGAAACCATGACGCAGGGACTCTCGGACTCTGCGTCTCTGAGAATCATCTTCTTCCTTCCGAAGCCTCATCAGCCTTTGTCAGTCCTAGAAAGTAACACACCACCCATTGTAAATGGAAGCTCATCACGGCACTACAGAAAACAGTGACTTTGGCCCCAGCGGGTGCGGCTCAGTGGGCTGAGCCCTGGCCTGTGAACCAAAGGGTCCCTAGTTCCATTCCCAGTCAAGGTACATTCCTGGGTTATGGGCCAGGTCCCCAGTAGGGGGCACACGAGAGGCAACCACACAATGCTGTTTCTCTCTCTCTCTCTCTCCCTCTCTTCCCCACCTAAAAAATAAACAAGTAAATAAATAAATAAAATCTTTTACGGAGAAAAAGAACAGTTATTTTGTACACCCAGCCCTGTGCTGAAAAGTGCACGGGAGGTGTGTCAGCTTTTCCAAAGGCATCAGGTCACCGAGTTTATTTTTTTGACAGTGGGTGAACATGGCATTTCCTCTCCATCACGCAGATGAGGAACACAAGC